TTTTACCCTGTTGGAGAAGTTTTTGGATGTGCATAGGGATTTGATTCTTAGAAGGTCCCATTCATCTATTTTATCTTCTCCTGGTTGTAGATTTTTCAGGATACTTGGAAGACTGTTTATGTTGTGGATTAGGACTCCTAGAGTTCTTCAAAGCTTTTCTTTAATGAAGTTTATAGTCCTTGGTTTTAGTCCTAGGTCCATGATCCACCTAGAATTGGTTTGTTTTTTTTTCTTTCGTTTTTTTTTAAATTTAGGTTGTTTCTTTTTCATTTCAATGAACATCTACAGAGATTTTGGGATTCCATTCATTCATTGTTGCACCCCTCTCCCCGCACAAACCCCTCCCCCTAGAATTGGTTTTTGTATATGGAGTGAGGTGTGGATCTTGCTTGAGTCTTCTGCAGATAGTTTTCCAGTTTTACCAACACCATTTGTTAAAACGGCCATCGTTTCCCCACTTAGCTGATTTCATCTCCTTGTCAAAAATCAGTTGACCACAGGTAGATGGGCTGATTTCCAGTTTCTCAATTCTATTCCATTGATCTATGTGTCTGTCATAGTACCAGTACCATACTGTCTTAACCATCATGGCAGTGTAATAGGATTTGAAATCAGGGATTGAGATGCCTCCTATCTTTTTTCTATTTTTAAGGAGTGTTTTGCTTTTCGGGGCTTCTTTCCATTCCAAATGGAACTGGAGATTGCCTTTTCCATCTTGTTGAAGAATGGGATTAGTATTTGTATTGGGATTGTGTTGAACGTGTAAATTGCCCTTCGTAGTCTTGCCATTTTCAAAATATTGAGTCTTCCTATCTATGAGTAAGGGATATTCTTCCTCTTCTGCAGATCTTTTTGTTTCTTGTAGTAATATTTTGTAATTTTCTTTCAATAGATCCTTTGTGCTCCTGGTTAGATTTACTCCCAAGTATTTAATCTTATGATTAGCTTTTGTGAAGGGCATTGTTTTTCTTAGTTCCAGCTCTATTATCTTTGTTACTGTAGAGAAATCCAACTGATTTTTGTATGTTGATCTTGTGTCTTGCTACTTTGCTGAATTGGTCAATTATGTCCAGTAGTTTTCTTGCTGAGTCTTTAGGGTTTTCTAGGTATACTATCATATCATCTGCATAGAGAGATATTTTACCTCCCCTTTGCCAATTTGGATGCCTCTTATTTTCTTCTCTTGTCTTATTGCTATCACTATGATTTCCAATTCAATATTGAATAAGAGAGGTGATAGTGGGCATCCTTGCGTAGTTCCTATCTTAAAGGGAATGCCTTTAACTTCTCCTTTGAGAACAATATTCGCTCTTGGGTTTTCATAAATAATTTTTACTATGTTGAAGAAATTCCCCTCTAATCCTATTTTGTTGAGTGTTTAAATCAGGAAAGGGTGTTGAATTTTGTCAAAGGCCTTTTCTGCATCAATTGATCATTTTGTTCTTATTCTTTGCTTTATTAATGTGATGAATTACATTAATTGTTTTCTTTATGTTGAACCATCCTTGCATACCTACCTGTTATGAGTCCCATTTGGTTGTGGTGAATTATTTCTTTGATCTGCAACTCAGTTTTTCGATCTGAATATGAGAGCAGTGATGGATAGTATATATACAATGATTTATTGTGTTATAATTAGGACCTAATTGACATAAACTGCCTATAGATTAATTTAGCTCATGGATTATAACTTGCTAACTTCTGATTTTGATTTGAAAGTAGTGCTCCTCCAGGATCCTAGGTCTCTGAGATTTGGTGCTAAGGACAAAAGGAAAAATTCTAATCACTCATTATTGTGCTAATTGCTATGGTAGATGTCTTAAACTTAATACTGCTAAGGCAGAAACGCCCCAAGTGGTTGGCTTTTCAGAATTTTCTTTTCTGTTAGTTAAAGGGGACTGGAGGTCCAAAGTGACGTTGAATCTACCTGTGGTTACTAGAACGATAGATAATATTCCCCATGCAGTGTCTAGGCTTGGAATCCTTTGAGAATCAGCTGTGAGTTGATTTTCACTTCACACCAGTGAAAGAGAGAAGCACCATGGGCAAGGCTTGCTCTCTTTCCTCTCTGTTAGCTCTGAGGAAAACTCTCTTAGTTTTCCTGACCCTATTATTCCTCACTTACTTACTGATCTCCACATAATTTTTGTCTTTCCTCAGTTTGTACTTTCTTCTCTATGCTTTTCTTATATCTCAAAAATCATTAGGTTTATGATACAAACTAAACTTATAGTGGCTTTCACATTATAAAGGTCTTTTTTTTAAAAAAAATTTTTAAGAAAGCCTCAATTTAAAACGATTAAAGGTTAGTGGTTAGGATTCCATTCTGTGTTTTGCAGTGAACACAATCAGTCTGTTGTTGTTAGGTGCAATTGTGTTAAGGGTGACTCACAGTGACCCTATGAACAAAAGATTTGACCACTGTTCTGTCCTGCAACATCTTTACACTTCCTGACACACAAGAGCCTATTGCAACAGTCACCTTGTCAATCCACCTAGTTGAGGGTCTTCTTCACCGGCTCTCCACCCTTCCCAACATCATGTTCTTCTCCAGAGAATAACACCTCCTAGCAACATGTCCAAAGTATGTGAGGCAAAGCCTCATCTTTCTTTCCTCCAAAGAGCACTCTGGCTACACACTCTCCAAGACATATTTGTTCATTTTTTGGCCCTCCATAGGATGTTCAGTGCTCTTCACACCACAGTGCAAAGACGTCAATTCTTTTTCTGTTATTCATTGTTCAGCTCTCAGATGCATAGCTAGTAATCAGAAAGACTATGACCTGTGTCAGACATACCTTCGTCCTCAAACTACATTTGAAATTCAGTCTTTTAATAGTAGTTAATCATGTAAAGAAAACGTGTAAAACTATATTGTAACAAGGAATTAATGTGGAAATAATCTTATTCTTATTACTTATTACTTCTATGTGTTCCCTATTGTTCCACATAGTAAAAATAAAGAGGAATAAGACTGAAATTGGTCAATGTCAGAATGTAGAGATAAAATGTATATTTAAAAAAGCCTTCAAACTCATTGCAGTTAAATTGGAACCATCTCATAACTGAACGTTCCATATGTGGAACGTCTCACTCCAGCTTTTGGAGGCTGTAAATTGCATGAGAAAGGATTGATGATCTTTCTTCCTGGGAGCCACAGGTATATTAGAACCATCAGAAAGTGACCATTGTTGAGTTAGTGCAACTCCCTGTATACTTTGCCACAAGTGTATTTAAAGTTTGTGAATTCTCTAAGACTTAGAGTTGATTAGTTAGGACATATGTGGATTAGGGACCTCTGGTGGCCTAGTGGCAAAAAGCTATGCAGCAAGCCCTAAGTCATGCAGTTCAAGGCCACCAGCCACTCTGTAGGAGAAAGATGGGCAGTCTCCTTGCTTGCAATCAACCACCTCTGAAAGTCCACCAGAAGGTCAGCTGTGGGTCATTTCCAACTTGATAGGAAACAACAACAACAAATATGCGTAGCAAAGGAAAGTGCTTTTGTAACTGAATCTTTGAGTAGATGCTAGGAGACCACACAGCTTTTCTGAATTCCTCAGTTCCTCAGTACGTCAGCTGTACCCATTCTCTTACTCACCCTGGAGGATTTGGTGCCATGCTGAACCAGAATATGTGGGATATTGTAGGACTTGGTGGTTTTTGAGGATGTGGCTGTGGACTTTACTCAAGAGGAGTGGTCTTTGTTGGATCTTGCGCAGAAGAACCTCTACCGAGACGTGATGCTGGAGAACTTCCAGAACCTGGCTTCACTAGGTAAGAATAGCAACATTGCTTCTTTGTTTAGATTTTCAGAAAACATTTTTTATCTCACTGTTCAACCCTGTTTCAGGATTTTGGCTAAGGAATGGGAATATATTTTTAAATAAGACAAACGTGATCTCTGATCTTAGAAAACTTACGGTCTTGTGATCTCACTATAAAAATCAACACCTGAATACTAATTTGAGGTACTCTGATTTTGTGAACATCACAGTGGTCTTCTGCACTGCTTGGACAAAATTGTGAAGTGGTATTATTATTGCAAGTGAGGCTCTGCTACCTGCTGCTGGAAGCCAATCTCAGTCAAGTGTGAGGTGGAAAGCACAAAGTTTATTAAACTCAAAATGTCATTGTTATAGAGTTTGAACCACCTCAATAGCTGACCTTCCATTAAATTTCTCAGGCTGTAAATCACACTGGAGGAGATCATGCATCTCTCTTCCAAGGAGCGGCTGATGGGTTTGAGCCACCAGAGTGAGTTGGCCTTTGGCTTAGCAGTGCAACTCTTTATGGACTGACTATACCACCTGAGCTGTTTATTATATACCAAACCCCATAGAGAGTCACTTTGAGTTAGAACTGACTTGATGGGAGTGGATGGACATATTTAGGAGCAGGGTATGAGCTTCTTAAATTTGCCTTTCCATCCGGAGCCTAAGGAGAAGTTTTTATACTTAAATTTTATTTATTCTGGGTGGTGTAGCACTGGTCTGTGCATTACTGTACAGAGGTAACTTGTGGTTACTGTGATGCTAAACACTGTGACACTGATAATACCAGATGTGATAATGGAAAAATGTCAGGTGTGAAGCCTGGAGCTTTCCTGATCGTGCTGGGCTCAACAGCACCCCCGTGTGGGGATTCACTTCCTGCTGTTGTTGGTTTACTCTAGGGACTTCAAAGTGTGTGGGAATTTTTTTATTAAAGGAAAAAAATTTCTTTAAAAAAAATGTGATAATGGTTACCCATGGTGGACAGTGTTTGGTGGGGCTTCCTAATGAAAACAAGCTTGAAAGCAGGAGTGGCATCCACTTCCAAAATGGCTTACCTCTGGAAACTATGAACAGTGCTCAAGTCTTTCATTCATAGGGTCGCTATGAGTCGTCTACGACTCGACGGCACTTAATAACAACAACTACAGAGTTATCTAGGTTATAGTCATGTCTTAGATAGTCTTGTTGATCATGTCCTTGTCACGCTGACCAATTCTCACTGTCATTTGGAGGATGGCTGGCCCACTCTTTTGTGTTAACAGTTGGGTTCTTATTGTTACTGTTCTGTTTTAGGGCAGACAAGGGAAGATTAATATGGCTATTATTGTTCAAATTTTAAAGAGAAGTTAGCTTTTAACTGCTGAAGCCAGCAGGACACAACTTTCCTAGCACATGCTTTCACTTAGAAAGAAGGTGAAACTAATGCAGATTTAAAAAAAAAAATTAAAATCTTCCCCATCCTATCAATGTTTTATTTTTGTACAGTGTCTACAACACTTTTTTAAAAAATTACTTTTATGATGGCCTTAGAGTTTGTCTGAGGTTGATATTCTGTGAAGATATTTATGTTTAACAGAAGAATAAAATATTCTGCCTATGAACATCTGATCTGCTTGTAATAATACTAAGAATTATGAACATCAGATAGTTTTAATGTTGTAGTTACTTTCTATTGCTGCTTTTTTTTATATAAAATTAACAAAGCCTTTTGTTTAAGTAAACTCACACTTGCTTATCTTCAGGGCATATGAAGACTAAAGTTTTGGCCTTATTTTCCTGGGAATGTTTGTGATTCTCCCTGTTTTCCTATATGGTATGTCATTCTGCTTTAATAGGGTATCTGCTACACATACCCCCTCTGATCTTGCAGTGGAAGCAAGAGAAGGACCTGGAAACTGTGGAGAGGACACTTATCCAGGCCACTTGCACAGGAGAACATCAGGACGGTAAGACTCCTTGGGAAAAAGTGTGTTGTTTGGGGTGTAATAAACTTAAGTCAGAACAAATTGTTTTGGAAAAAATCCAAATTAAAGAAATAAAACTTGCTTTTGGTATGAGGAAGCTGAACATCCACAGATACCTTATATTATTCTTTAACTTTTATCAATCATTTCACACTTCTTTTGTTCTTGAAAAAGGCCTTCTGTTATCCTTTTCTGAAGTTGTATTTGATCATGTGTATTGCATCCATTTCCTTTCTCTTTTGCTCTCTTAATATATCCTGTTTACATTCTCACCAGTCTCAAGCATTAAGGAATTATTTTTAGTACATTGGTTACTATTTTTATCCTGAGAATTGTGGCATCAGGATTGGTGGAAGATCTATTAACAATCTGTGTTACGCAGATGACACAACCCTGCTTGCTGAAACTGAGGAGGACCTCATGCACTTGCTGCGGAGGGTCAAGTACTGCAGCCTTCAGTATGGATTGAGGCTCAATGTCAAGAAGACAAAGATTCTCACCACTGAACCAAGAGATTGAGACTGTTCACAGCTTCAGTTTGCTTGGCTCCACAGTCAACACTCTTGGCACCAGCAGTCAAGAAATCAAAAAGTATATCGCAATGGGAAAGTCTGCTGTTAGGGACCTCTCTAAAGTACTCAAGAGCAATGGTGTCTCTCTGGAGACTAAGGTGTGCCTGATACAGGCCTTGGTCTTTGCAATTGCTTGTTATGCATCAGAGAGTTGGACAATGACTAGGGAGGACAGAAGGAGAGTTGATGCCTTTGAGCTGTGGTGCTGGAGAAGAGTATTGAATGTACCATGGACTGCCAGGAAAACAAACAGATTCATCTTGGAGAGGATTAAACCAAGCAACTCCTTGGAGGCAAGGATTCTGGGGCTTCGTCTGACATACTTTGGACATGTTGCCAGGAGGGACGGGTCCTTGGAGAGGGACATCATGCTTGGGAGGTTGGAGGGATGGCGCAGGAGGGGAAGACCCTCTATGAGATGGATTGATTCGATGACTTGGGTAATCGGGCTGGGTATGTCAGAGGCAGTGCGGTTGGCGCAGGATAGAGCAGGGTTTAGGGCTGTTGTGCATAGGGTCGCTATGAGTCGCAAACGACTCGACGGCACTTAACAACAACAACAACAACACCTATTATTGCCAAAACCATCAAAGGACCAGAGTTGTCAAGTCTTTTGCTTAGTGGATAGATAATGAACACTACATTGGAACAGATGAGGGTAAGAACTATCCGAAAGGAATATATGATCAGGCTTTATATTATATGTATGACAACACTCTGGAACAAGGGATACATTACAGTGTGGGCTGGGGTGGGGGTGGTGGACAAGAAATATGTGCAACCATAAATAAAAAAACAAAACAAAAATTAAAGTTCAAGCCTCACTCTAAAAAAAAAAGTCTTTTGCTCACATATACCTTTGCTTTTCTGTTTCAGACTTTGAAGTTCAACTTAAAACCCAGGGATCAATTTTCCAGCAAAATAGTTTTGGGAAAAAATTATCCAATGAACAGAAAATAGTAAAATTAAAAAGAAATGTTTCTTGTTCCTCTATTTTACATGAAAACAATGAATACTATGGTATTGATAATCAGAACAGTGACCATGAGAGACTTTTGAGGTGAGTGCTATTCATAAGAGAGAATCTTGAAAATATCATGAATTTTTAAAACAACTTGTGTACATAAACCAAGGTCAAAAATTATAATTTCACTAAGAATTTTCATAAGATAATATTGCCACAAATATGAGTGGTGACATTACTGGTTATAGTAGAATCTTTTACCCTGAGAACATTCATCTTCTGTAACTTGACAGGGAAGAGAATGTACACATTTACTGAAAAAAATAAAAGCTTGTTATTAATAATGTACTTTTAATTTTAGAGGAAGTCCTGTGGTGAAGAATATCTATGAATATAATGAAGGAAATCGATGTGGAGAAGTCTTCAGTCAAATTACACATCTTAATGAGGCCAAGAAGAAAGCAACTAAAGTAAAACCCTGTGAATGCCATAAGTGTGGACAGGTCTTTAGGGATCATTCATCTCTCAAAAGCCACATTAAATCTCACCCTGGAAGCAAACCATACCAGTGTAAGGAATGTGGGAAAGCCTTCCATTTTTTTGCTTCTTTTAAGAAACACGTGAAAACTCTCATTGAAGAGAAACCCTTTGAATGTAAAGAATGCAGCAAAGCCTTTAACTGTTCCTCATCCTTCAAAACACACATGAAGAGTCATACTGCAGAGGTAAAGTATGAGTGTAAGGAATGTGGGAAAGCCTTTAGCTGCACCTCGTCCCTCACGGAACACAAACGAGTTCACAGTGGACTCAAGCCTTATAAATGTAAGGAATGTGGAAAGGCCTTCAGTTGCTCCTCTTCCCTCTCAAAACATAAACGAATTCACAGTGGAGATAAGCCATACGAATGTAAAGAATGTGGAAAAGCTTTTACTTCTTCCTCCCACCTTATAATACATAGCAGAATCCACACTGGAGAGAAACCTTACGAATGTAAGGAGTGTGGGAAGGCCTTCAGTGAGTCCTCCAAGCTCAGTGTACATGTGAGAACTCATACTGGCGAGAAGCCTTACAAATGTAAGGAATGTGAAAAAGCATACAATTGTCCCTCTTCCCTGAATATCCATATGAGAAAACACACTGGAGAAAAGCCTTACGAATGCCTGGAATGCGGAAAAGCCTTCTATCTTCCTACTTCTCTTAATGCACACGTGAAAAATCAAAGCAAAGAGAAGCCATATGAATGCACGGAGTGTGGGAAAGCCTTCAGTTGTCCCTCATCCTTTCGAACGCATGTGAGAGATCACACTGGAAAGCTGCAGTATGAATGTAAGGAGTGTGGGAAAGTCTTCAGTCGTTCCTATTCCCTCACTGAACACTTAAGGACACACAGTGGAGAGAAACCTTATGAATGTAAGGAGTGTGGAAAAGCCTTTATTAGTTCATCTCACCTTACAGTGCATATAAGAATTCATACTGGAGAAAAACCGTATGAATGTAAGAAATGTGGGAAAGGTTTTATCTATCCCTCTGCCCTTAGAATCCACATGAGAACACACACTGGAGAGAAACCTTATGAATGTAAGGAATGTGGGAAAGCCTTCCGTCATTCTTCATACTTCACTGTACATGCACGAATGCACACTGGTGAGAAACCATTTGAATGTTTTGAATGTGGAAAAGCTTTCAGTTGTCCCTCATCCTATCGAAGACACGTGAGAAGCCACACTGGAGAGAAACCATATGAATGTGAGGAATGTGGAAAAGCCTTTGTTTGTTCTGCCTACTTTCGAAGACATGTGAAAACTCACACTAGAGGAAAGGTATGATGATAAGGAAAATCTGTATGTCTGTACAATTCTTAGATCGCCTATGACACACCACACTCTAGAGACAGTCTATGAAGAAAGTCAAGAAAGTCTAAAGTCATTGCTCATCTATTCATAATCTTTTGAGAATTTACCACCCATATGATTTCATGTGGGAAAGCTTTTACAAACATCACTTTCATTTGAGAAAATTCATATTAACTGTGAAGTCATTATGTACTTAAAAAATTATTTTATTAATTTTAATGAATGTTTACAGATTTTGGATTTCCACTCCCCCACCCCCCCAGTTCGCTCTTCTCTTTGAAAAGTAAAAGAAAAATTCTTTAATTCATATATAATCCCCCACCCCCCTCCAACCTTCATTCTGGACTCTTGTCATAACTATAATACCCAATCATGTATCGCTTTAAAATTGTTCTCTCCCTCATCTGTTTCAATGCAGTATACATAATTTATCCAATTTTTCTCCGTTTCACCCCAATCCTGATGTCAGTCCCATTCTACAACAGTGGCTCTGTGCAATATTTGTCCTTTTGTGACTGAGATATTTCACCCCGCATAATACCCTCCAGGGTCACCCATTTTGAATAATATTTCATGAGTTCCTCGTATTCCACTGTGTGAATATATCACAGCTTCTCTATCTATTCGTTTGTTGATGGGCACTTAGATTGTTTCCAACTCTTTGCTATTGTGAACAAAGCCACAATAAACATGGGTGTGCATATATCGCTTGGGTGGCAGTTATGGTTTCTTTAGGGTAGAGTCCCAGTAGTGGAACTGCTAGGTCAAATGATATTTCTACTTTCAACTTTTTGAGAAAGTGCGATACCGCCTTCCATGGTGGTTGCACCATTTTACACTCCCACCAACAGTGAATAAGGGTTCCATTTTCTCCACAACCTTGCCAGCATTTGTTGTTTGCTGCTCTGTTAAATTTTGCTATTCTTACTGGGGTGAGATGACATCTCATAGTTGTTTTGATTTGCATCTCTCTTAGAGATAGGGATTTTGAACATTTCTTCATGTGCTTGTTGGCCATCTGAATGTCTTCTTTGGTGAAGTGTCTTCATATCCTGTGCCCATTTTTCCATTGGATTGTTTACCTTTATCTTGCGATGGAAGTCATTATGTACTTTTTATATCAATGTTTCATTCTTAAAATGAATGGCTAGCTGTATTATTTCCAGATTTTCTTTTCTATTCAGAGGATTTAAGGTGATAGATTTCCTGCTAGGATCTTCTTTCTCCATAACACTCTTGCCACAAATATTTTAATATAAGGCTTTTTAATTATGGTTAAGATTGTAAAAACTGGCATGTTTCCATGACAAAGTCCTGTGGAAGATTTTATTTTTTAAAAATACGTGCAAATAAGAATGGTGATTTTTAAAATTGATTTTTAATTCCATTTAAGTATGTGATCATTGTTGTAGTGACACATTGAGTTTTTTGGAGGTAGAAATTTGTAGCATGCCAGATACTGGAAATTGATTATACATTCATCTTCCCATTTTTTAAAAAGGGAACTTTTTATTGTTGTTGTGTACTGTTGAGTTGGAACCTACCTAAAGCTGACTCTCTGGTGGGTTTTCAGAGGCAATAAGTCTTACAAGAGGAGTTTGCCCATCTCACTCTGGCAGAGTAGATGGTGAATTTGAACCACATACTTTTTATGGGCCGTATAGTTCCTCACCCATAAGCCATAAGAGCTCAATACATTTTCTTAGGCTATCAAAATTTACTCTTAAAACACATTCCTGTTCAGTAAATAATTACAGCATAAATTAGTGTGTGCAAAGCTCTTGAAAGGGGACAGTCTTAATCTGACCTCATGATTTTGTACTTTGTTATGCCTCAGAATTGGACCCAATGTTTTGATTTAAGAAAACCAAAAAGTAAATAAAACAAGAAAAAGTAACCTTGTAGCATGGGGATGAACAAAGGAAGTAAAGGTAGTTGGACTGGCTTGTGCTTTGTTTATTTTGCTGTGGTTGAGGCAACATTTCCAAGAATCACTTGTTTATTGGCTTCATGGTTAGAGTTGTTTAATAGAAGAATGTTCCTGAGATTGGGAAGATGGAAGGTAACAACCCTTTCAGTTTAGTGAGATCATTACAGAAGGAGACAGGAACATACAGGCTTCAGCACCCCACTTTCCAGCACAGGTTCTTGATTATTAGACAAGTTGAATAGAGGTTAAAAAAAAGATTAAGAATCTGAATTTTGTTTTTGTCAGAGATTTCAGCTCCATAGACATTTCTGTAATCTCCATAGCAGTTTTTCTGGCGTGCTTATAATCATTTTCCTGATACTACAGTCCTTTTAGAATCACCCAGCTATAGAGTTAGATACTTTTTTAAGGCAAGGTTTCCAACTTCATACTACTAAACTTTATCAGGTAATTTTTCATGGGTAACGACTAATCTATGCTGCAAATCCACTGTGATCTTGTAAAAGCATGAAGAGCTGATAGACAATGACAGGGAAATGACCCTAGGCATAACTGAGATAAGTATTACACAGAGATAATAAGTTTATTTTAGTGGAAAAGAATTTCTGTTTTGACAACTTCAGACTTGGAAGACTAGGGAGCTCTAGTGTCCTAGTGGCAAGAAGCTGCACTGCAATCCCGAAGGTGTGTGGTTCAAATCCACCAGACGCTGTGCTGGAGAAGGAGGGGCAATCTCCTCCTGTACCAGTCAGATTCGATTTAATGGCACACTAGAAAAAGCAACAACAAAGAAGCCCCAAAATGGAAAAAGAAAACACCACACACCAAAAAACGCAAATAAACAAAATCTTGGAAAGCTTCATTAATTTTTTTTTACTTGAGAAATAAAGATACTTGGTTTGAGTTTCAGGTATACCTTCTTTTTCTACCGTCTTTTCTCACATTTTCCCACTTCCTTTTTCATTAATGTTTACTTTTTTGTTAAAATATATCTACTCTACTTTCCTGCTATTATCTACCCATGGGATATAACATACCGTGAACAAACAGGTCTGTATCGGAGAGGGTGAAACTCAGTTTCTCCTGGGAAGCTAGGATTTTGAAGCTCTGTCTCACATACTGTGAGCACGTGGCCAGGAGGAACCAGTCCTTGGAGAAAGACATTATGCATAGAAGGGTGGAGGGACAACACAGGAGAGAGAGTCCCTGGATGAGATAGATTGAGACAGTAACTGGGGTCATGGGATTAGGTGTGTTGAAGTCAGTGAGACTTGCTCAGGATAGGGCAGGCTTCTGAGCTATTGTACATTGCCCCAGCCCACGGGGTCTTCAAGGAGGACCTAAGGAGGAAGAGTGGGGCTGAGAAGGGACAAGAGACATGAAGAATGGAGACAAGATAGGTTCTCTGATCAAGTCTCGTTTCTTAAAACTTTCCACAGGGCTTTATATAGGAACCTGCCTAGATATGTAGGCTGGGTTGCTATAGAAACCCAGCCTCAAGATATCAGTTTACCGCAGGAATGAGGAACACACCCTAAGGCATTGAATTACAGGAACTGAGCTAGTGAGGTAAGCCGTTTCCCTGAAACTGGGTGGAGACTCTTGAGCTGAACTCATCTGTAGACATGCCAGGCAGGCCTTTATGGAATGGCGTTGAGTGAGCAGTATAAAGCAACTTAGGCCTTAGATCAGGAGCCTCAAGGGTGGCTCCCTACAGTACATAAGGTCGCTATGAGTCACAGTTGACTCAGTGACACACAACAACAAAAACATACCTACTTTAACTCAAATATATGAAATGTACTCATTTTAAGTAACCTGCTTGGTGAAATTGCACATATATATATACCCTGATAAACATAAGGCATTTATAGTACCTCAAAAGTTTGTTCATGTCTCCTCCTCCTCCTCCTCCACACCAGCCTTTCTCTTTGTCTCAGTCACTTCCTTCCTCGGCCTCTGCTCAGTACATTTTAAGAGATCACACAAAGACTCAGTACCTACTTCCCCTCAGCAGAGACACCGAGGTGAGGCACGGAGGCAGTAAAGAACATGGATCATGAAGTTAGCCTTTTAGTGGAGGAAAGTCATCATTTGGGTTCCAAAAATGCTGATGGAAAGTTAAGTGTGAAATTTGGCGTCCTCTTCCGAGATGATAAATGTGCCAACCTCTTCGAAGCACTGGTAGGAACTCTGAAAGCTGCAAAACGAAGGAAAATTGTTTCATACCAAGGAGAGCTACTTTTGCAAGGTGTCCATGATGTTGATATTGTACTGCTGCAAGATTAATGTGATTTGCCTGTCTTTGTGTATTGCTGCTTTTGTTTCTGATAAACTGGATTATCAAGTCAAAGGAAAAACATGTAAGCATATTAATGTATTTTTATAGGATTTTATAAACAAATGGAGACTCTTTTTAGAAGTCTGCCCTTTTTTATATCTGGAAAGAAAATTTATGTATTTCACTGTAAAATTAACAATTACATTATTTTTCTCAGGAATCTGGTTAGAATATGTAGGCAAGAAGACTTTTTTTTGTGGGGAGACATAGAATGTTTGCTTCATAAATCATTCATACACAACATAATAGATAATTTGCCATGATGTAAAAGCAAGGAACAAACTGAAAAACACCACCACGGTCTTATAATGTATACAAAATAAAGCCATGTATCAATCTAAAATTGCCTGGTTTTGTCATTTAAGTATTTTTGTGTATATTAAGATCAGCATTTGCATCACATTGGATAATTATAGTGAAGATAGGTTTTAATTTGGGGAGAAATTCTTGTGAACTACAGAATTGAAAAAGCCTGGGTGGATAGGATTATAGTTAGATCTTACAAAATAGTTTATTTTAATGCCTGCTGTGAGTTGTTGTTGTTATGTGCCGTCGAGTCGCTTGTGACTCATAGCGACCCTATGTACAACAGCCTAAACCCTGCTCTATCCTGTGCCAGTCGCGCTGTCTCTGACACTCCCATCCCAATTATCCCAGTCACTGAATCAGTCCACCTCATAGAGGGCCTTCCTCTCCTGCACT